TCTATCTATCTATCTATCTATCTATCTATCTATCTATCTATCTATCTATCTATCTGTCTGTCCCAGTCTCTGTCTCTCTTTTTCTCTCTCTCTGTATCTATAATAGCCATATTTCTCTCACTGTCTTTCCCCAAAAATACACATTTCAAATCAACATTTCTTGCCTTTTCTGTTCCCAAGGTAGCCATTTTCCACATATTATCTTTTCCTCCTATAGTCATTTTTCTCGCATTGCCTCTTCCTCAGAACGCGAACGTAAGAATTGAGTTCATCAACAGCGGCAACGGCATCAAGAACCCACTGCTCAGCACAGAATTCACGGACAACAAACTAGGTGAGTGGCTCCCTCAATTTCAGTAATTTTACGAAGAAGTAAACAGATTTAAATTATCCCCAGTCAGAAAATGAACTCAAAGCTCCTGCGTGCGACAACGACGCACCTAACCACTACACCACAGTTACACGTTCCTATTTGGGATTCTTTTTTTAAAAAACTATGGCCCCTGGGTGGTTGGCGGATGCTCTAGTGTGGTTTGCTCCTTTTTGTCCGTCAATCATCAATCGTACTTATCTCTCCTCCTTTCCTCTGTATGTTACTCTTTAGTGCCACCTCTAATCCTTGGTATATATTATATGGCCCATTTGTGTTTCAAGTGCCGTAAAACTCTTACAAAAAAGCACTGTTGCCATGGTTTCCCCAGGTCTGGTAAGCGGCAACCGTTCTCTCCCCTGCCCTGTGTGTCAGCTGACCTTTGACTCCCCCAAACATCTACAGCGTCACTTCAAGAGTCACAAGGAAATCAAACGGTTCCTGTGTACCTTCTGTGGCAAGGGATTCAACGACACCTTTGACCTCAAGAGGCATACGCGCACACACACAGGTGAGACAGCTTATGGTGTAGTATGTTATATAAACATATTCTTTTACTTTATGTAGAATAAATTAGTTACATTTTTTTATTTAGAAAGACAGATACAGAGAGATAGACAAATACAGATACAGAGAGACAGAGAGAACGATAGATACAGAGAGACAGAGAGAAAGACAGATACAGAAAGAAAAACAGATATATGTATATATATA